CATTTGTTCGTTCTCTTTATCATGCATCGTCTCTTCAATCAATCGATCGATTGATGTCTGTTACTATTAACAAAAAGAAACAAAATCTTCTTTTTTTCTCTCTAGTTCTTTTCTAATGCTTGAAAGCAATCCGATACCAACAACAACGATTGGTGGTGGTGGTTTCACTAACATCAATACACCATCAACAAGCAATATAATAGGTAGTATTTTTACACCCGAACAAGTTGCTTGTGTTTGTGAAGTACTTCAACAAAGTAATGATATTCAACGGCTCGGTAAGGTTTATAAAAAAATATCACAAGAAACAAAAATATATATATATATTTTTTTGATCTCTATATAGGTGATTTTTTATGGACATTACCAACATTTGAACATTTTCATAATCATGAAAGTGTTGTAAAAGCTAAAGCAGTTGTTGCATTTCGTCGTGGAAATTATCGTGAACTATATAATATACTTGAACGTTATCAATTTGCACCATGTAGTCATCCACAATTACAACAATTATGGTTACAAGCACATTATAATGAAGCTGAAAAATTACGTGGTAGACCATTAGGTGCTGTTGGAAAATATCGTGTAAGACGAAAATTTCCTTTACCACGTACAATATGGGATGGTGAAGAAACAAGTTATTGTTTTAAAGAAAAATCACGTAATATTTTACGTGATTGGTATTTACATAATCCATATCCATCTCCAAGAGAAAAACGTGAACTATCAGAAGCAACTACTTTAACAACAACACAAGTATCAAATTGGTTTAAAAATCGACGACAACGTGATCGAGCATCGGAAACAAATGATAGGTTTGTGTTTTTTATTTTGTTTTTATTTTTTATTATGATTTAATTAATATTAGTTCTTTTTTTGTTTTTGCTTTTAGAAAAACAATTGATATGAGTCCTTCACATAATGATGATAATTCATTAGATGATCTTGGATCAACAGGTAGTGAACCAACAACAAAAGGTTTCCAACTTGATTATAATAATCAACAATATCATTATCATCATCATCATCATCATATGAAACCAACAACAACAGATATTATTGATTCTGGAGGAATTTTTAAAGATTATCATTCACTTTAAACGACACATTTTTCTTTTTTTTTCTTTCGTCTTTGTATTTTCAATGGGATCAGATAAAAAAAAAACATAATACGAAAATGACTAATCGTTTTTTCTTTTGTTTAGCACGATATGTAAATATTTAATTTCTAAGTGCTTTGTGTATATACAAACTTGAAATATGAGATGTGCCTTTCGTGTTAAAGGACGAATTGCGTGATGATGACTCGAAATCGGATCTAATCGATGAGAGCGAGAGAAGAAAAAAAAAAGAAAGCATACATAGTGTTTTGTTTTGTTATTCTTGGAATGAGACAGAGTAACTATTGATAGGGCTTCAAACATCGATTACTGAATGTAACGATTGATAGAAGTTTATCTTTCAGTTATGCTTACGTCATATTGCAATCCCTATTGAGTATCAAATTTCTTTGTCTTGTCAATCAAAAAAGAAAAAATATTATTACGGAATCGTCTTTACTTAAAATATTGTCTTTTTGTTTTTTGATGAAATCTGTATTATGAATAATAGTTTATTTCAAATGAAAAAACTCGTTTTATATCTTACTGAGACTTTTATTGATTAAAGAAAGTAACACTTATTTTATTTGTTCTAGAAGAGAGAAAAAAAAATCAATGATATTCGTTGAAGAAGTGAATTAACAGAAATAATCAAGATACTCATGCTGAGTAACTCACACCTTTTTATTTTTGATCTATGATAGTTGATCTCTGTAATATTAAAAGATAACATCTATATATAATATATATGTATATCATGGTCAAATATCATAAGAAGAATACATTAGAATGGAATGTTCTATTGTTACTTGTTCGCAAACATTATAATCCTATTGACTACATTGATGTGCTTCTGTCGGTAATGATCAAAGTATAACTTTCTTGTAGTTTTGTTTAACTAACTGATGATGAAGTACTACTCCTTCCTCTTTTGTGTTTTGTTGATAATGATAAATAACTGATTAAATTTTTAAAAAAAACATAGTACCGATTTTTTTTTCTCCTCTTTTGTTTTATATTCTTCTTGAGAAATAAATTATTTCACACCTGTATTTAGGTGTTCATACGAATAAAATAAGGATAAGTCAATATTTACATATTGGAAAGCTAGCTAATCAATTATCAATTATGAATAGAGAAAATTTTTTTTTTCCTTTTTTTTTTTCGTGTTGATCCATTCTCAATCAATATATTGACACATCGATCAACGAAAAGACAATCATTGTATCTGGTTCAATATCATCAGTTGATCAGATCAATTTCCTGTTAACACCTACATATGGCTCTTAGTTTAAGTATAGTATATACATATTTAGACAGGACACTTTACTTCTATTTGAATAGAACAATAGAGATTAATGTTTAAAAACAAAATAGAAATGATTGAGAATTCTTATTAGGAAGAATAAGAAATTCTAGAAAATAAAAAATAGAATTTTTTATATGAACAGATTAGACTCGTTTGATACAATTGATAATCAAATGAAGCAAATTAATTATTTCGTTTACATCTTTATTTTCTTAAAGATATGATATGAAAAGAACTTGAATATTGATTGCATTTGATGGTATATTATAATTCTTTTTGAAGAGTATTTAACAAAAATTTTTTTTTTTAATAACTATTCTCCATGATAAGGAACGAGGAATTTTCATGTTTATTATTTTTTTTCAAGGTTGATTATTATAGTGTGATGATAATCATAGGTTCCATAAGGTTAACATTTTTTTAATCATTGACTAATCAACAGATTTAATTAGAATAAAATATTTGTCGACATCTTGCGCATGAAGGTGAGGTTACGGGTTGTCTTTGAATCTTTATCCTCACCCTTCAGCGTCATCTTGACAAAATATTCCAATGTCGTTTCAATTAGGATGATATAGTTTAAAAATTTTCTGGACTTTGGAATGCAAATTATGATTGCATTATTTTTAAAGTAATAGGCAAGTTGAAAACACAATACAAATGAAAATAGCATAACTTTCTATATTCTACATTGTGGACATTTTTCTACTCATTCGCTTAACTTTTGTTTCCAATTAGAAAATAGAACTGCTAATAAAAGACCATCTGAAAAACATATGATGAATCTCGGATTACGAAAAAAAAGAAAGCTATCTATAGTATGCCTATCGGCTCTATATTTGCATGTTTGTTTACAAGAAGAAACAACTTCATTGTATTCGATAGGTTTCTGATAAAAGCTTTTTTTTGTCAATGTTTTTTCTTTAGACAAAAAAAGAAGAAGAAGATTTTATCGATTCACTACTAATATATTTTAATTTATAATTCTCATATTCAATTTAATATGTTCTCATATTAAAAACATCAAGTTTCTATATTAAGATAATTAATCGATTAAAAATTTTTATTTCAATTGGTTTGAATTTCTGTACACTTAAATATAACACTCGATTATATCAATATGATACTGACGAGTGAACATTTTTAAGTATTAACTCACTTTTTAGTCCAGACTATGTGTATCATGTAGATTCTAATGATACTATGAATACTCTGAAAAGAGTTCAGACTAACAGCTTATTGCTATCTCGAGATACTGTATTTTTTAGCAGAATGTGATGATTTCCTTCAGAGACACCAGGAAAATTGATATTCAAATTTGCACTTGAAACTTTACACAGATATAGATCTTAACGATAATAGCTAATTGTGAAAGCTTCAGATTTTTCGATTGCATCTATTCTGAAATAGGAACATCGGATTGTATCATTGTATATGAGCAGCATGAAAAACATGCTTTTACCATAGCTATATCTTACGATAGAAGCAATGAAAAAATATGAAACTTTTTACAATAGGCTACTCTGAATTAAGGCCTATGTCTATGTAAAGTTTCAAGTAGAAAAGCGAATATCAGTTTTTCTGATATTTCTAAGGGAGATTATGGCATTTTGCTAAAAAATACAGTATCTCACAAGTAATAACTTATTAGTCATTGGAAAACGTTCATTCGTGAGAATATATACGTGAAAGACTAACAATATCTTGTTTTTTTTATTCGATATTAAAAAGAGAAACTTTTCTTTATTTAAACACAAAAAATTCTTTCTGGAACTAAAATAAAAAGAAAGAATCTCAATTTCAATATTATAAATGTGACGATACGACAAATATCATTATTAATGTGAATATGCTTTTTCTTTTTTGACATGAGATTAAAAATAAAACATGAAAGAAATGTAGCATTATTATTGAGCATATTTCTTGATGAAAAAAGATAATACTTTTATTCCCGGAAAGGGTGAAGAAGAAAGCAAGTAGATGACAAAATGTATCAACTTTTCATTATCTTCACTAGACATACTGTATGTAAGTTTTCATAGATTATATTTATTATTTGAAAAATGATGATGATATTATTGGTATCATCAAAATCGGATAGAAATATATTTCATCTTAATCTTTATTATATTTAAATGTAGTAGCAAAGAAGCAAAAAAAAATTTAGATTATAACGTTAGTATGATAACGGAAATTGTTTTGCTTCGCTAGAGACAAAAGAAAAAATTTTTTCTTCTTTTTTTTTTTTTTCAATGTCATCATCTCTATTCATGCCGACAGTAAAATAATCTTGGCATCTTCTTATATTTCTTTTTTTATACTCATCTATTCTTTATATGAGATCTTGTCTTTGAATGCAAAAGAAGATGTGAAAGAAATAACTGCGCAAAAAACATGCTTCATTTATGTGTGTTCACATTACTCTTCAATCTTTTTTTCCACTTCGGTGTAAACGCTAGCTTAAAGCATGGCAAACTGAAAGAAAAAAAAAAGAAAGAAATTCTTTTCTAACGTAAGAGTTCATTTTGAAAAAAAAATATATATAAAACAAACCTTCTCATTAGTTATTCTTTTGAAATTAATCACAAACTATGGCATTTACTAATTTATTTCGACGTCATTCAACTTTTATTGAAACTCAAGGAGCTAACTATGCTTGTTTAGATGAAAATTCTACTGCTGAAACATTATTAGATGAACTTGAAACACAATGCCAAAATATTTCAACTTTATCAGGATCATCGAAAACAAAACGTAACTCAGAAGTATTAGAACATTCAGGTGGTTTACTTGCATCAACATACAATGCATGTTTGAAACGACGTTCATCGGTTGATTATTCATGGTTAACACCACAGAATAATCTTTTACAAACACATAATGAATTATATCATTTATCGGATATAATAAAAATGGAATTAGGTGAATTAATTCGTAATGTAGCACCAGAAGATTGTACATTTGTTGTTAATCAATTTCGTCGACATGTACGTTCACAATCAAAAGCTACAACACCTGAATGTATCATTGCTTTATTTCGTAAAACATTAGCTGATTATATTGATCAAAAACACAAAAACCGTTCAAATTCAAATTCAAATTCAAATTCAAATTCAAATGAAATAGCAAAAACTAATGAAGGAAATAATTTAATATCGACAGTACATAATTCATTATTACGAAATAATCGTGTTTTACCTAAATATCAATCGGAAGAAGAACAACATTCAATTGCTGAATTAACTGAAATTTCATTAACATCACCGCAAAATGATTCAAATGACGTAAAACCTCGTTCGAGCACTTATACATAAAAAAAACCACTAATTGTTTTTCTATATTGTATTTTTTTCTGCGTGTACGTAGATAGTTCAAAGATATTGATGTTGTATAAAAAAAAATCTCTACTGTTGTCTGTATGTAGTCTTTTAGATGTTGAAATCATGAACTCTGATGCATTGATATAAAAAATTTTCTTCTCAAAGGAAGCTATTTTTGATAGTAAAAATTAGAAGCATATATATAAAGGAAATATTATTTCTGCAACTCGACGTTAAACAATTTTTAGAAGGTAAAAATTAGCGTTTTTCCTTCATGATGTCGTCTTCCAACAAGATTGAATAGCTTCATAAAAATGTCTAGGTATGTACTCAATGACAATGTCGTTAATTCTATTCTTGAACATTCCACTCGCAAAAAAAGAAACTAAGAAAAGTTACTCATTAAATGGTAATTCAGCAAATAAAGGATGTTATTAGCATCTCCAACATATCATTATAGAAATATATTTTTAGAAACTAACAGTTTTATATTTCAATAAAGCTTGGCAATGTCTTTTATTTATTATTGACTACTAATGACTAAATATATCAAAAAATAATGCCGACATGGTTTATATAATATAAAAAATTCTTAAATTCTTCTTTTTTTTCACATAAATATTCAATTATTAATGAGAGTCAAAGATTTTCTTAGTTTGTTCCAAGAAAAAACAAACTAATTTCTAATATCAAAGATCAACAGTAATTATTAGAAATTATTGGGACTAAATATATGTCATTTTATCTAAATTAATAAACATAGTATTGAAATCATATGAAGAGCTACCCATCCTCATTAGAATCAATAAAAAGATTCGAAAACTTCATTATTTTCTAGTAAATTCCAAAATGTCTTCTCATATATCTTCTAGCTTTCTACATCATCGTGACAGATTATATACAAAATGATGTAATCATTCTTGAGCTCTAAGACATTAGGACATGTAACATGTTCGGATGCGTGCAACACTTTTGAAATAGAACATTTAATTAGGATGATTTTAATTGAATTTGAAAACTATGATACCTTTCCTGTATTAATGGGAATTTTGAAATTATCATGAACTCACTAAGGACGATGAACATAGTCTTCACATATAGTTTCAAGAGAGAATATATTCTCATCTGTTCTATTAATTAGAAGTTCTATACATGTATCAATTCAAAATCTAGTAAATAATATTTTTGTCATCGACTAATGTTTTCAACAGTGTAAATAATCATAACCATATCTAATTCATATACTTAATAATAAATAAAATTTTCAATGCAAAGATGCTAATTATGAAATTCGCCTTGATTTTATTCTAACTGAAACATTCATAAAATGTCAATGCAGTACAAGGTTAACCTTAGGTGAAAGAATATTAATTACTTTGAAAGATATTTCTCTATTAATATTATAATTCTCTGTATACAGAAGATAATGGATAATACTACTAAGCGCCTGAATATTAAATCTGGAGAAGACAAGCTATGAGAATTGTATTAATACTTGAGTTATATATGAATATTATCTGAGATATTCAGTGCTAATTATTTGTAGATATTCGGTACGTTTTTTTTCCTAATATTAATGAAATTGTTGAAATATTCTTCAGAAAGATGAAATAATCAAGTTGGAAATGTATCCGATATACGAACTCGTGAATATAAATGACATATTTTGTTAATGTGCATTATGAATATTGTTATTGACATTAGTAATATTAAATATTGGTATTTCTATTATTTTTTTGAAAAAATGTAAATAAGGAAATAGCAAGTTTTTTGTTTCGAGATTATTTGAAAAATATCGAAGCACAAATAATTTCTATAACTATTGTATATCAATCAATTTAACCTTCCATTCGGTACCAGACCCTGAGACATTCGACAATATGTACATAGAAGCTCTACAGCATGATATTCTTATATTGCTAATACCACAGGTAGCCTTACGGTCTTATAGCGTTAACACTTGTAGCCTAGTCCCCATAGTGTACTCCCTTCTTATAGCGCTCCTCCCTCATGGTCTTACTTCTTATTACCTTACTGCCTTATAGCCTTACCTCCTTATTAACTTTCTCGCTTAAAAACTTACCCTTTGTATCCTTACCTTTGTATTTCCTTATTTCCACATAGTCTTACCTCCGTAATAGCCTTACTTCCTTACAGCCTTATCACATATACCCATACTCCCTTGCTGCCTTACCTCTTACAGACTTACCCCTTTATAGCCTTATCTCCTAATAATCTTATTCTCTTATTGTCTTACCTTCTTATAGTCTTATGTCCTTATTGCTTAACTTCTTTATTATCTTACCCTTGTATACTCTTACTTTCTTGTAACTTTATCCCTTGATAGCATTATCCCCTTATTACCTTATTTCATTATAACCTCGTCCTCTTGTTACTTTACTCCCATAAAGTCTTACTATCCATTTTGTCTTTCTATCTTAAAGCTTTATCCCCATTTTGCTTTTCTACCTTAAAGTCTTATCCCCTTATAGCCTTATTCGACCTTTAATCATTGACTCGAAACAGAGAAACACACACACGATGAACAATATATATACATAGGTAGATGTAGATTACCTTACTCTCTTCAGGACTTAGGAGTGTTCCAATATAAAAGTCCTTAAGGACCTATGGGTACTCCAATATAATGTCCCTTAAGGACCTATGGACACCCCTCTAAGACGATCGTTGAGGGCCTAAAAGTACTCCCGTTTAATATCGCTTGGCTATTCATGCACACCTCCATATAATAACCTTCAAGAAGACCTATGAATGTCCCATAGGATGACCCTTGAAGATCTACCGGTGCTCCCATATAATAGACCTTGAGGAGACCTATGGGTACCCTGTAGGATAGCTCTTGAGAACCTATGGGTACCCCAATATAATAGCCCTTGAAGACTTATTGGTACCTCCATATAATAGCTCTTGTGGAGAACTATGTGCGTCCCCGAGGATGGGCCTTGGACGTCTATGGGTGCTCCAATATAATAGCCCTTCAGGAGACCTATGGGTATCCTGTAGTACAGTCTTTGAGGACTTATGGGTGCCATAATATAATAGCCCTTCAGGCCTATGGGTACATCCATATAATAGCACTTCAGGACCTATGAGTACCCTCATATAATAGTCCTTGGGCCTTCCTCTTGTAGCCTTATTTGACCTTTAACCTTTGATTCGGCACGGAGATGCCGACAGACAGACACTGAACATTATATATATAGATATTTGGTTAAAATTATAATGATCAATTTTTCGACTTTAAAATTCAATGAACGCCGTGATATTTAAGTTTTGTATTTCTCGTATTACTGAATTCTAAAGCAAAATTATTCAAGGTGTAGTTAACATTTTACAAGAGAAGTCACAAAGGACGCAAGGGTCATTATGAAGCAAAACCACCCATATGATAAAATCCAAGTTTATTTTTCCCATTTTGTCATTGTAGCTGTCAAAAGTCTTTAAATGATAAAATCAGATCTTTTAATGCATTCTATACTGTATACTAAGTGACTGAGCTAACCTAGATCTATCCATATTTATATGTCCTCAGAGAGACTCAGGTAATGAGTTTTTTCATGGAAAATACTTCACTCATTTGTTTATGTATTCAACCGATCTATATATAAAATGAACTTCTTTCAATTCTCTATCGAATGATGTATGAAAATATGAGAAAATGGTTATTTCTTGCCTTTTCTTTTATAGGAGCACAATTCATATCTATACCATCAATGGGTTCCTGTGACGAGTATCACTTAGTGCTGTTCTCTAATGGTAGTAGTCCACTTTGGATTTCATATCAATCGATAAATCTGGACGATGAGAGTATGGGTGAAGAGAATATTCACATTCATGTCTGATCGGTTCTTTCCAAAAGGGTATGAGAATAGTTGATGTTGTATTGCAAGCACGAATGACTGAACAAGTAATATGCTAAAAACTCCATCATACGTAGACTTCTGCAAGAGGAAAAATAGTTTAGTTTTTATTTATTTGTGTAAAGCATTAAAAGTTATGATTTTATTGGCCTTTTTTCATTGTCATTGAAATTCTCTATTTAAAGCAGCAACACTGCCATGAAGTACAGAGGTTTTGCTTATTTTTTACAGGAGTTAGCTTTTCATAAGCTTCACTGAGATAAAATGGTTGATTTCTCACTATTTTGCAAGCACCAGCTCCAAAGATCCATTCGTCACATCCATGGTTGTATCTCTGGATTAATTTTTTATATCGCAAAGTTTGTTGCATCATGCTGCAGTCGTTCTAGCAGTATTACTTTTCACAAAGCTTTCCTTTGAGAGCAAAACACAATACCTACCGCCAATAGAAATCTTCTGAAAATTTATTTTGAAATGATAAACATACGATTTTCTTAATAGTTAAACAACGTGAGAATGATTTTAATTAATCTTTTTCTTGCTTAATCCTCTTTATTTTAGTAGTAGTAGAGTTATTTTTTTTCCAGTTTGTAGAATATTTTCATCTTTGTTCAATAAGAAAATCATCAGAAACATTTGAGTTGTCTTCTATATATTGCTTATTGGAATCATGAATGGAGTATGTTTTGGTAAAAAGATGCATTCGACGAATACAAAGAACTATGAGAAAAGCTAAAAATAAAAATGATGTCATTCTTTTTGTAATACTCATTAGTATTATGCTTTAGTCGATTATTAATTTTACTTTTATGATGAAAACAAGAAAAGAAATCAAACTAATAGTTGATAATTAGTCTTGAATTCTTTGGGAATATGTATCAATATATTTATATACGTAATAATATCTAAAGCTATTTTATTTCTTAAATATTTCGATTAATTCATGATTCAAATCGATCAATGAATATTAAAAACATTTTATATATATTGATTTCATGCAGGCATAATCTAGTATCGTCTGTAGTAGCATTGACGTATGGGAACACATGGACTATTGAGCGCATGAGTCCATCGTACATAACCTGGACTACAACAGCAGGTTCGTACGCAAAC